AGCAGTATAGCTTCCCTCATTAGCATTAACATGAAACTCAATCTTCTCTGTGAACATTAAAGAAACAACAAAGCCAGTGTGCACATGCAAATATGTCTTTATGTCATTCTTAGTGAATGAGACTAGACAGTACAACCCTATCACATACATTACTTGACACAACAAGTGTGCATACAGGGCCGTAGTCAGGATTTTAGAAATACTTGTAGATTAAAGGGAAACTTTGCCTATTTTTCCTACCCCTATTTTTCCCATGGTTTTTTTTGCCTAAGTGACTAATGGGTACAACAATTTTTGAAATTGGTGCAGTTTTGAAGCCAAAGCGCTGCAGCCAGCAGCTGTGAAACGGGCTACAAATGTAATCCTTATGAGCAATTGCGCAGCGATAATGTACAGCCACTAAAAATGCTTGGGTGTTTTTTTTTTGCCACAAACAGGATGAGATTGTTATTATAATATGGAAATGACTCTACAGAGATAATCCTTTTTGTTAAAGAACAAGATCCTTTTTGTTTAACCAGAAACAGCCTTCATAGCACTCTGTTCAAAGCCACCAGACTCCATTGACAAAAACTATAATTTTACCTTGCAGAACACGGGTGGTGCTGGTCTACCGCTGTCTGGATCATTTTTTTTTTTTCTGTTATTGTGTGTAATGTTTTAAAGAGTTAGTTTGAACCCAAACTACTGTGTTGAAACATCTTATTCTTTAACAAAAAGGTCTATCTCTTTAGGGTTTCTGTAATGTTGTCAGACACTTATAATAACAGTCGGTCAGTGGCAAAAACAAGCACTTTTAGTGGATTTGCATTGACAGTGTCTCAGTTGCAGTGCTCTTGCTCAATACTGCACCAATTTCAAACCTTGTTGTCCCCATTAGTCACTTAGACGTAAAATCGTGGGAAATCGGGTCCAGTTTGAAAAATACAGAAATTTCCCTTTAAGAGTCCAAAGTAAATCAATAAAATCTGGGTGAAAATTAAGTTAGTCCCTGAGGTTTTTGTTGTAGGTTTGATTTAAAAAGTGAAGTATTCAACAGAATTAGTTTAAAGAATAAAAAAGAGATATTTTGGTATATTTGATTATTTCTGCTGACTGATTGAGAGCTGAGAGTCTGGCACATTTTTTCAACCTCAAACATCTGTGTGCCTCTGTTTTCTTTTTCTTTCTTTCTTTCTTTCTTTTTCTCTCTCTGTATCACTCTATTTCACTGTCTCTCTATCCCTCTTCGTCTCTGTCTCTCTATTTTCATACATTCAAAGACATTTGGCTTTAATCAACGACCAGATTTGGACAGACGGTAAATGCTTCTGTTACGCGTGTGTGTGTGTGTGTGCCCGTGTGAAACTGTGTGATGTTTGAGTATGTGTTTTGAAGGCTCTTTGCTCTACTAATGGTTTATTCAGAAACCTGAGCAGGCTGTTTTATGAAAATATGAATATAGTCTTTCAGTCATTTAGGTAATAGGCAACTACTGTGTGTTCACCTGTGTGTGTGTGTGTGTGTGTGTGTGTGTAAGAATGGATTTTATGCTTTCTGATTTAAGGTCCTCTGAGGTCAGGTGTGCATGTGCATGCACACACACCTTTGAACACAATGACTGATACACATTTGTGTGGCTTCCTAGCACATTACTCATTCACTTTGTTTCTCTTTCTAATTCTGTATGTTTGTCTCTCTTGTAGAAGTAGTGAGGCTGTTTTCTTCAGGTCATGTTGTAGTTTAAGTAGACCTGTCATTCCCAATCTGGCAGTCCGGACCCCCCTAATGGTCCCAAGATGTATTTGAGGGGTCAAGAGATGGTAAGGGGGGTAAGAAAGAATAAAAAGAAACATTTCTGCTCTGTGTATTTGACTTTTCTTGTGAAATACTGTATATTTGTTATCCCTTTAGGCCTGTAAAATTCCTTCAAATGAAAGAATCTGAGAAAAAATGTCTTTGGCTGAACTGCTCACAACTCGCATGCACACTAAAGTCATAGCCCATGATGAAGGGTCACAAGTACATATTAATATATTGTTACAGCGGCAACAATTAGTTAATTAATACTGTTGTAATCATTTTCTTAAAATACCAAATATTTGCTGGTTCAGGTTTCTGAAATGTCAGGAATTTCTGCTGTTCTTTGTCATATATGATAGTAAACTAAATATATTTGGGTTTCGGGCTGTTAGTCGAACAAATCTAAATACATCACCTTTGGGTTGTGGGGAAATTATAAGATGCCTTTTTCACTATAATCTGACATTTTACAGACAAAACTACCAGAACATAGTCACAGCCCTAGATATCTTTGGCTGCGTTCAGACTGCAGACCAAAGAGAACCAAATCTGTAAACAGTCCAAGTCACACGATCTTTTCAGTTCTGATTTGGTCCACTTTGATATGTGGCCCAAATCAGATTTAGGTCTGATTCTTTGCAGTGTGATCTCAGTGTGAACAGTCATATCAGTCAATTCATGTGACTCATTACGTTACATTGCTCTAAATTGACATTTGTCATGCAGGGCACTTCAGGAACTGTTCACACTGGAATCTCATATGGGCCACATTTAAAAAATAATATGAACCAAAAAAAATCAGATCTGAGCATTAAATCAGAGTTGAGCACTGTGGCTTGCAGTGTGAACATAGCCTTAGTTTAAAGGGGTTAACCACTGATCCAGAGTACTATACTAACCTACAGTATGTAGTCCTTTCTATATGAGGACGCAAAGTCTGGTTTCCACTGCAGGGCCAAGAACAGTCCTGCCAGTACTTACTAAATATTTATACGTCTCCATTTCCCCTAAATCAAAACGTAGGTGATTCTTTCTACATCTCATTGCCAACAGAGATGACTCTTCTGCTGTGTTACAGTTTCATATAAACAAATTGGGCTTTCAACCATGTGTCCTAAACATCTTGACTTGGCCCTGGATCTAATAAGCCCCATTTGGCTCTGCAGTTGCCGTCAAAAAGTGATGACTAACACACTGACTGGCTCTGTGACAGACACCTACCTCAACACATTCTTCAGGTCTCTTTCCCATTAATAAATGCTCTTTTATTAGTCTGCTCTAATAATTACCCTTGGAGAGAATTCCCAGACTATAAAGGGAAGTTTGTTTTTCAGAATAGTAATAGTAAGTAAAAAGTAAAGTGTTAATAGGCCCGAAACAATAGCCTGCCATGCAAACCATTAGGCCATAAATGTCTTCTCTTACTTCACTGCACTTTATCTCCTGATATTTAATCCATTTATAGCAGCAGTTTGATCTTCAACAAAATGTTCCCGTTTCAGAAGTCATTGAGTTGATAGCTGCTATTTGGGTCTGTTTATTTGTGATGATGATGGGAATAAAGATGGTTATTATGGTCATCGTGTGGAGCCGATGGCGACAAAGATGAAGGTGGTAAAGGTGAGGCAACAGGAAATATAGATGACGATGAAGGTGCAAGTGAGGCGGCGAGGATGGAAGTGAAGATGAAGATAATGAAGAGTAACATCTTGTTGGAGTTGAGCCTGATGAAAGAGGAGGATAAAAATGATAAACATGATGATGATGATGATGATGATGCATAATTGCACGAGCACCGGTGAAGCAAGATAAAACAAAGAAGATGATGATTATAGTACAGTGGTGATTAAATTTGCAGGTTTACTTTGTTATCATGATGATGATGATGATGATGATGATGAATGATGAGGAAAAGGAGATAAAGATAACGGTGATGTGGGTGATGATGATGCAGGTGCAGCTGAGGAGGAGATGATGAAGATGATGACTGTGGTATAATGGCGATGAGATGACGATGACGACGATGATGATGGTGATGGAGGTGAGTGTGTTGGCGACAGTAATGATGATGATGATGATGACACTGATAGTGATGATGAGGGATATGAATAATAGGACATTTTGACTTGTCATAGTAGGAAAAACACAGGTGTTATTGATAACATAAACAATGGCTCTGTTCTATTTAAGTGTCCCAGAAAGTGATGACAGTGTGACAACATGAATAACATCAGGACTCTGAAACAGAGGCAGCTAAATGGAATTCAGCCATCATTCATTTTATCATTTACTCCTCTTTTCCTGCTGTGTCAAAAAGGTTGATGTGTCGTCGCTCCAGGGTGCTGAACTGTGTCTGACTGTAGCAATCCAGAGTGATATGTTCAAATATTACATTATTTTTCCCTGGATAAATTGACCTTAAAGGACCAGTGTGTAGGACTCAGTGGCATCTAGTGGTGAAGTTGCAGATGACAACCATTTGAGTACAGCTCAGCCTTTCCAAGCGTGTTGGAGAAACTACGGTGGCTGCAGAAGGACCTTTAAAGATCCAGTGTTTGGTCTGTGCATTCTGAGCTACTGTTGAAACATTGTGATTCAACATACGGGCCTCCATAGAAGAGGACCCAGCAGCTCAGGTGATGATAAATTAATGAAAACATACCTATTAATATTATATTTCCATTTCTGCCAATAGATCCTCCTAAATGTTACACACTGGACCTTTAAGAGTCTTATGTTGTTCTCTGAGTAAAAGGACCCGTTGCAGAGACACCTGTGATGATAACGATGATGATGAGGGTGACAGTGATGGTTGTGGTGGTGAAGATGTGCACAGGTAGTGGGAGTGATGGTTTGACGTGAATGAGTGAGTGATGAAGGTAGAAGATACAACAATGGAGTTGACGATGATGATGATGATGATGGGTGCGCTGGTGAAGAGTAAAGATGATTGATCGATGGGGGATTGATGATGATGTTGATGCACGTGCCATGAAATACAGTAAAGTGATGATGATAACGATGCACGTGCACAGGTGATGGGAGTTATATTTGAGTGACGATGATGGTGATGATGATGATGGTGATGGGTAGACTAATTGGAGGAAGAAATTATGAAAACTTGCTGAGGTGATGAGGATGATGATGAGGGTGATGAGGATGAAGACCATTATAACTCCGCGTGGCCGCACTTGTACCGGTGGTGGGAGTGTCCGCGAGGAGGGTAGAGCTGCTCCGCTGCATGCTCGCGCCCAGGCACGAGCAGCGCTCAGATGTTTTCATTCTTAACTTATAGGGTCGCGAGAGCAGGACGCTGAGGAGTCTCCGGACGCGAGGAAGAAAAAGTCTGCCCGTTTTTTTTAAATTTGTGTGTTTCATTTATTTTGGTTTCCTCTCATTTCCTCCCGGTGTGATGTCAGCCTGTCGGGCCGGTTTGGTGCTCCTGTGCGCGGCGTTGGCGGTGAGTCGCGCCCGCAGGAGTTCACCGGAGCAGGAGGATGTTCAGGAGAAAATCAACAGCGCCAGATGCACGTCCAGGTGCCTCACTCTGCACATGACTCAACTGACCGCTGCCTTCAGACACCTCCAGGTACCCTACAACCACTTTGTGCCTTATTTAATGGCGTTTACCGACCCCGAGGTCAAATATGACCTCCAGTCAGCGGTCGACGCGGCCACCAGTGTATACAAAATACATCAGAAGTCACCAAATAAAAAGACAGACAGCCATGACTGAGGATTCTGGATGCTATTTGCCTCTTAAAACACAGTCTAATTAAATTATTCTTTATAATATGATGTGTATTTAAACATTTATGTGACCCTAAAGGTGAGTAAACTGTATAAAATAAATACTTTTTCAATTAATTCGGCTGCACAGTTTTAGACTTTTTACGGTAAATTCTTTATTTAAAAGTGCATTACTGGTATGCTTTATTGTTGTTGACAACATACTGTATACTGCGGCAGTTCATACAGTTCAGTGGGATCGTTGGCGATTTTGTTGGTGTTAAATAATATTTCGCTTAATATTTCATCATTTGAACTAATACATTTGCTTTAATAGTGATAGGCTTATCCCCCTGAAATATATTTAACAAGAGGATACTGAAGGGTGAAACAGAAGTGGAGGTAGGGATGAGCATCTGGAGTTACTCAGCTGCAGTCAATAGTAAATAAAACAGAAGGTTAAAAATGACTTTCTTATAATACACCCGCATAATGATCTCTCAGTGAATTTTCAAATTTAGCAAATATCCACGTCTGCTCTCAATTATACACGAACCACAGAGATTAACATCAACTTTAAACTGCATCATTTAACTTGATTAAAACATCAAAAAAGAATAATTCTTGTTCTCTGGTGTGACTGATCAGATACACCCACACACACCACACACACCTCTGTCCACCACTCATAGCGGTGTCGTACTTGTCGATAACCCCGTTGCCTGGTGGAAAGAAAACAGTATTTAGTCGCCACAATTATGCAATTTTCATCAAAAGCCTTACAGAAGCCCCTCAGTGCCATGTTGTGCAGTGATTTTAGATTAGCTAAGAGGTGTTGCTATGCACAAGAGAAGAAAAGTGGAGCACTTACAGCCTAAATAATGAATCAAAGGGAAACCGTGTGATCTGGCCTGAAACAGTGAGTTGTTTCCAACATGGTTTTCATCAGGAAGTTTTTGACAAATGTTCCTACGTTGCTCAGACTGAAGTTGCCCCATGTCAGTACTCGGAGGGCCAAAGGTACCCTGAAAGAAGTTAAGTTACAGGTTTATAATGGTTGACAAAATGACTCATCTCGGTGAAATCGCTGGCCCATGTTATGTGGCCTTTGTAGTGAGGAATGTGAGATTAACGGGGACATTAGGACGTTACCAAGTTCGAAAAGCCACTTATCGTTAACGGCTTCAACATGTGCATGCTGTGTAGTGGGTGGGAAAGTCATTAACCGCAGAGTTTAGCCCCAGTGGCTCTGAGGTGTGTAGAAGAAAGTGTGTCTACGTATGTGTGTGTGTGTGTGTGTGTGTTTGCATATGTTCACGTATAAAACGAAAGGTTTGGTCTGGTCCTCGTCCATCTAGAATAGACTCCCGGCACCTGTGCATTGGGTAATGAGGGTGGCCCCTGGATGACTTCCTAGCAGCCAGTGGGTGCGTGTGTGTGTGGCGTTTCTGGAATGGAGGTGTGAGAAAGGGAACATTTGGTTTAAACTTTATGAAGTGCAGTGCAGTAGTCAGATGTGGAGCATCAAACAGCAGCGATGGAAATGAAACCAACCGACTGGGAGGTAGCGAATAGGCTAGACATTTGTTTTTTCTACTTGGGTTTCATTTTTAAATGGGAACAAAATGTCTTTAATCTCTTGTTTGTTTTCCGTTGTACTCGTGGCATTAGTGACATCCAGGATGTGTTTAGACTTCCAGGATTTTCTGAATGTTTCCTGATATCTTCAAATAGACAAACTTACCTGAACATATCCCAGAATATAGTAAGGAAACATTTAGTCTTTATTTGGTGTACTGTACAACAAACATGTCATATTCCCCCTAAGATCTTACTATTATTAAAACAGGCTACGTTAATGAACTATTTTCATTCAGACAATTCCACTTCTACTATATACATTGGATTTGTTTGTTTTTAACATCTTGAAACAAAGCGGTAAGAAGACAGCCGTTTGTTCATGAAACATCTTGAAACAAGTTTTTTTTCTGGGCAAATAAATAATAATAAATAAATAAAGTAACTCACTGAAATAGTCTTAAACTCATATTAAGATAAATTGATCGTTTAGACCCTTAATAACTATTAATGCTACATGGAATTAGTTCTTAATATTAAGAATTTGCTTCTCATCGTTATAAAAAATAAGCAATTTCTAGTCGATGACTTCATTGACAGAAGATTAATCAGCAACTATTTTGATAATTAATTAATGATTTAACTAATTTGTCAAGCAAAAATGACAACATTAGCATTTCCAGCTTCTACAATATGATAATTTCATCATTTACTCTGGTTTTTTTTCTCAGACTCTGGAAAACCTTTTCATTATTGTCAGACATTCAATAGACAAACGATGAATCAGGACATTAATAATGAAAATAATTGTTAGTTGAAGCCCTAATTATATAAAAACAATTAAACATGCACAAGAAAAAGAACTCTGCACTGATGTCATAACTGATTAGCAGGACAGTGACAAACAGGAAAGGACGGTGTCGACGTGTGACTCAGAAAAAGAAAAAAATAACATTTGAGGATATAAAGGGTCACTGAAAACGTTATGTGTGTTATACCAAATTAAAAAGGAGCCTCTAAACTTTGAGCAAACAAGGAAACAAGTCTCCTCTCAGCCACATCCTGGGGAACAGCATCACTCCCGAACCTATTATAGGACAGAGTAGCACAACACAGAGTGATTAATGGCTGGGAGAGACTGTGTGTTAGAGCATTCATTCATTTAAAGAACATAACGTTTCAAACAAAAAGCCCTTTTGATAACATCTCCAGTCACTGTAACATCAGTGAAGGCAAATGGAGCTTTACTCATCCTACTCTGTCACCACACTCACACACACACACACACACACACATTGCTTCCTCTGGCTTCATGTGGGTGAACCCTGTGTTTTTGGCTCTTTCTCTCTCAGTGTGTGTGTGTGGCTAGTGTGTAGCCACTAGAATGTGAGTCACCAGTTTTCTATTTACACCTCGCTTTCTGCTGCTTCTCTGGGTTTTCCACTACTTTCCCTTGTATGGTGTAATAGTGTAATTATAGCTCTTTGTGTGTGCGCGTGTGTGTGTGTGTGTGTGCACATGGGCATATATCTGCTGGTATGTTGTCATATTCCCAAATTCCTCCTTGATGTAAACTCCTAAAAATAAGGAAAAAAACGGCAGCCTCGCCTGCGGAGCTGGATCTTTCTGCACATACGTAGTAGATCAGATTAGACTGCGTGTCTTGAACACTCACAGGTCTGTGGTGCTGATGAGCGGATGGTTAGCGGTTCGAGCCAGCGGCTGAGGGCCAGTGCGAGGGTGAATGAGCTGCCTGTGCATTCATGTTTATGCGTGTGTGTGTGCGTGCATGTGTGTGTGTGTGTCTCAGCTGCTCTGCGGTAGGTAGCTCTAATCAGCTCAGAGGTCGGTCAGCCAACCAGTCACGCTCTGAAAAAGACCAGAGACAACGGTCAGGTCAGGTTGCACAGAGACAGACGGGGAGATAAAGACAGGTAGACGGACGCGGTCGAGCATGAAGATAGGCAGGGGGAGATGGAAAGACGGGTGAGCGGGCGGGTAGACGCACACAGACAGGTGTGACAAACATACATGAGGACAGACAACCTGACAAACTGATACACAGGCTAGAACATTGGACAGACAGACAGACAGGTAAGCAGGGAGACAGGCAGAGAGACAAAGGCTTGTGTGATTCACCCCAGAGATAAAGCCTCTACCTCTTTCTGCGGCTTTGTGGCTGCCCTGTCATTTGATCAGTAGAAGCAGGCATAGATGGGGATAAAATTGTGGCAGCGTAGGAGGGACTTTCACCTGAAACCAGGGCGAGAAATTCCAAGATAGTAAATCACAGCTGGAATGGCGAAAGCATTGAGCGGCGCGGCTTTGTTCTGTCAGCTGCAGAAAGAGAGACAGATAGAAAGAGCACACCAACACCATGACAGCATATTGTATCTGATATATATTGTTTCTGTACAATTAAATCCATTCTTCTTCTCACTGGTGAACTCTCATATCTTCACCATGAATATGAAGTTACCGCCAGCAGCGGCCTAACTTAGCTTAGCACAAACCCTGGAAACAATGGGAAACATCTAGCCTGTCTCTGTCCAAAGTAGAGCCTGACCAATATGGGATATTTGAGACCAGTACCAATTTTAGAAGGGAACATTTACCAATTACTGATACGGAACCTGATATAGTGAATTTTTGAGCTGGAATGAAAACAGACTATGCAAGGGTACTCAGAAGGTTGCTTTCCTAAACAAATAACTTTATTTAAGAATATTTCAGTTAAAAATTCTTCAATTCTTGTGTCAACCAGTTGCAGTTGACATTGCCGAGAGTTGCTTCTTCTCTCTTACTCAGTGCTGCTTGCCACAGTTTTATAAATCGCAGCGCACTCTGCTGGAATCGCTTTGCCGTGACACCATACTGATATATGTCTTTGAACCCCAGCCAATAATATCGACTGACCGATTGATCAGTCAGGCCAAAGGTTACAAAATCTGCCTACCATGTTGTATCTCTTTCGTTAAATTCATACAAAAACCCAAAATAAAAACGACGAATCACAATTTTACATGCATTTATGGGTCGGAGTATTTCATGGCCGGGACCAGTAACCTCCTGGAGTTTCCGCTGGTTGCTGGGCAACTGGTTTTCCCCAGTTCACAGTCTTTGTGCTGAGCTGAAGTATCCGGCTGCTCGTGGTAGCTTCATATTTAGCATACAGATATGTTTGTGGTATCAATCTTCTCACCTAACTCTCAGAAAGAAAGAAAATCAGCGTATTTTCAAAAATGTTGACCTTTTCAGTTAATTTGTTGATCGTTTAGAGTA